GAGAGCCTTCTATAGGTACATTAGAGCCATCCATATGGACATCCATATATGGAAGTCGTACGACAACCTCTACTCACCAATTATATATAACAGTGATTTTCCTTTTATGACAGAAAATCACTTAAAAATGGGATATTTGCAATAGTGAATAAGCAATGAAGGATCCTGGGAAGCCCATGAAAGGCGGTGAAAAGTACCACCAAGATTTGTGCATGCAATATGGACAGTCTCCATAGTTCCCTGCACTATTTGAAAGGCAGTTCGTGGCTTGCAATCAAAGGGGTTGACCACTACTGCCAGAATGAAGCTAGTGATTGATCGAGAAAACAAAAACAAAGAATTGTAGGATTATGTCAGATAATGCCTATTGTTCTACTGGGCATCTTGTTTTTTGTATTGCCTGTCCCTCTTAGTTAGTGTACACCCCTATCAAAGCCAGACAGCCATTGACGGTGCAGTGACTGGTATCTATCATCACACGCTCAGTGGTCTCGTTTTGATGCAAAGTCACAGCTACCTTTGAAGATGGTGCAGAGAACCAAGAATGAAACTATTGAAACAAAGTTGGAAATCATGAAAGATCACTTATTTGCATAAAACTGGGTACAACCCAYTTTCCCACACCTCCTTTTAAATGTGTGAAATGGTTGTTATTTGAAATATTTTTGTCAATTCAAGGAAATTGTTTCATTGGCTTGTACAACTTTTTGACAGTCTCTTCAGTTCTTAGCAATAGTCTCCAAGTTGTATATGGTCAGTCTCAATTTTTTTTTTTTCGCTGAGGGGTGGATGCTACCATCTTGTGCGTCTTTGCATTGTATTTCCTTCCCAAGAGTTCCCAGGGTGCACCATTGGATCTATAAACAACTTTATATAAAAATGCCAACCCTGCTTTGTTAAACCTAATAATTTTGACTCCATTTTATACACGAGTGTCGAATGCTTGTTATTTACGTACCTGTCCTGTGGGACACCTAACTCGTCGACGAGGTACTTYCCAAGGACTTCGGTGTATCTTTTTGTCGTCTCAGCATCATGTCTTCCTATGTTAGTTAGCTGAACAATTGCCGTAGGCTCTTTGGTTCCAGCCCAAGTCATTAACTGGCCAGGTTCGATGCAAACACAAATATACTAGTAGTGCCAAAAAAAAAGAAGTTAGGATCTACGATTATGTTGGAATCTTGCCCGCCAAAAAGTAAATTTCGTTCGTTTCATAAAAAATACCCAGACATTTTATTCCGCTTTTCGGTAAATTTTTAGAACATTTCAAACTAAAATCAAAAGAACTTCATCACTATGTCTAAAACGACTTTGAATATTCATTTTACGGCATACCATAAGGGTAATTAAGCTTATATYGGCTTACATGGTTAGAAAATTCGAATTTTACGGAATTCATTCGCTAGATATTCGCTAGTTGAAGCTCTAATCATCATAACTTTCGACCATCAAAGCGAATTATAACGACAAAACCGAGAAATTTCTTCAAACTCAAGGGGTAGTGATTGGCGCAACCTCGAGTTGACTTCGCTAACAACAGGTTTCAGAATCGGCCGGACGTACTCACCGATTCTGGCTTTTTCAACATATCTGCCAACACAGTTGTCGAGTTTTTCAGGAAGTCATCGGGAATTTTCGCTGCTGGTATATTTGTTTGGATCTGTAAGTATGGCATCCTCGCTTTCAATAAAGGCCAGATATTAATTCACGACTGGAAGCAAACACGAGACAACGGAGTATAAACGTGCGACGTCGATCGCTTTTAGAATAGTGAAGTGGGAATCCTGTGTGTCCGACAATTTAAATTTTGATCACATTTATATTTTGATTAACATTTATCTGAAGTAATGTGTGCATTTTATTCTAAATATTTCTGCCTTACACTGGAAAACTGTAACAGAGAGTCGAATTTTATAGTAAAACAGTAAAAGTTTTTCTGAAAATTCACTTCCGCCGGATGTACTTCTGGTGACATTGAACAGCGGTATGAATCGCGGGCTCTCATTTAGTGCTTAGCAACTTGAAAGAACAAAAAATACAGGTCGAGAAAATCAGTTGTGTATTTGGTATTTTAGGTCTGCATTTTGCTGTATTTTACGCTATTATAACATGGAAAATGATGGAGAACGCTCTAGACCACAATCACGAGTGGCTAGTGCGACATCAGCTCGAGATCGTGACGATGAAACAGAACTTGAAGATCAACAAACGGACAGTACAACACCGTCGACTTCTGCTTTGGTGAGATATGTCATCAACTGGAAACTGGTATTTTTGCTTCACTGGTCGATTTGATGAACTAATACCGAATATTTTMTTGTAACAGAATATGTGCTGGTCATTTGGTATCAACAAACACATTCCAACCATAAACTTATCAGATGGTGACAGAAAGGTATCCAGTTACTTCACTAGCTTGCCTGTCTTTGGTGTTGCCTGTCATTGACTCTTAGACTAGTATCTTTCATGTTTTATGGAAAAACAAACATTATTCATGATGCATCTACTTACATTGCTTCAGGAGTACTGTTACTCTGGTTAGGATCATGTCAGAATCTTAGTAGGATCCTAGCCAGGATTTGGAACCAGATATATCATGTCTGTGGTCTCTGGTGAAACCACTCTAGCACCCTTTCACCCWTTGTAAATGTGTATATTTCTGCTGTAACTGCATATTCTTTCTAATATAAGCATTTGGTGTACATGTACAGGTTGCCTTYTATGCAACATCRCAYGCTGGTGTCATGTATGACTTCAAAGAAAACAAACAAAGGCTTCTGCAAGGACATGTAAGTATAATAGTTATACTGTTTATTCGTAATATTACTCAAGGGCCAGTTTACGAAGGGTGAATAGTGCATATCCACCAGATAAATCCTTATCAAATTTGCACACAAAATTTAAGGAGCTGATAAATAACTTTATCCTACCTTTGTACAACTGCGTCAGATTACTGTATGTTATCAAAAATGGCAATAATTTTGAAAAATCTTGCAGTGTAATGCAATTGCATGTACTTGTGCAAGTGAAGATCGTCGTTGGATTGCGACTGCAGACAATGGTGAAAATAGCATGGTTATTGTATGGGATTCATTTACAGGGTGAGGTTGTCTATTATTTTGCATCACAATTTTCTCATCATTCAATTTTACATGTAGTTAGCAAGTAGATTCTATTATTCTGTGTAGTACCTTTATGAACTCTAATGTACATTCAGTTAGATGACTTCAAAATGTGGTGAAACCAAAAAAAGTACAACACGTCAGTGTCAGTGTCATCATGTGATCACCAGCAATGGTTGGATAATTACTTGCTGATTGGCTGAGTATTGATTAATATCGTAATTATCTGTTTGATTGACAGCATCCCAGTTCAGACAATCTTTGATCCTCATCCAAGTGGATGTGTTGCCATAGCAATGTCACCAGATGCAAAATACATCACAACAATCAGTAACACCCTTCCTCAGGTGAGAAACTGCATTTGTCTTTTACATGTAGACTGTTTAAATGTCATTTATAGCAGCATTTGTAAATAGACTTATATTAATAGGTTGTGTCAATATGGGACTGGACAACAAATGGAGAAACTCCTTCAAGTTCTACAACATTGGATGGAGACTTTGGAATGCAGGTACTTAAGTGCAATAAAGCTAAAATCATAATATATCATTGATAGTATATTAGAGCTGCTGGTGCCAAAAAAAATTGTTATCTCAAATTGTAAAATATTAGAGGTCTAGCTAATTACTAGTAATTACTTCATAATGTATATTGATACATTGATTTTATATATCATTTGAATCTGCAGAATTATATACTATTCAATCCAGATGACACCTCACAGTTAGTGAGCAACAGTCGCTCACAAGTTATTTTTTACTCATTGGTAAGAAACAGCAATACTTATTTTTCCTGTTCAAAACAAGTAGGCCATTGTTTTAGTTAGCAACAGACTCTCTTGTGTAAAGGCCTGTTGTGTAAATGTCTGTTGACATTTCAATAGCTGAAAACGTGGATAATTCGCTCCAATTTTGGAGTAGCGTGTGTGCAGGCGCTCCTCTTTGGGGTCCGTTTCTTTGCTCCGCCGCCAACGAGGAACGCCTGCACGCAGGCTAATTTTGGAGCTCTAATGTGTTCCCTAAAGGCTAAAGCTTAGATATTTATTCTGGGAATGCATTTTGGATTTTTCATGGATTATTTTGTACTTTTATGAAAGCATAATAATTTTCTTGTAATCCTATCATTAGAAGTTTGTCAGCTAAAAAAGTAACTACTGCATTGATCGGGAAAAAGGGAACTCAGAGATGCAAGATATAGAAATAAAGGAAAGTTATAGTGCTAGGAAGGAGGTTATTCCAGGAGAAATACCCTTGGAAATGAATTYGGAAAAGTAAATTTCTGACCTCCCTCCAACTTTCCTTTATTATTTCTATATCTTGTATCTCATAKTGMCATRGAGTYTTTACATTGATATCAGAGATGGACTCTGTATAAGATGAAGAATAACTTTATTAAYAAATCTCTATTGTGTTTTTTGTTTAGGTTGATGATAAACTTGAATACAAAGCTCCCCCACTTACTGATAAAGTAATTTTCCRTGATTATCATTTATGATTCTACTGTTAATTGGTCTTAGCATGCTATGGGAAAAATTTGCCGTGATACACTAGGCCAACATTGCTGTATAAGTTATATGCATCCACAGAAATGTAAAGGAGCAAATTTTCTTTTGTGCTAGCCTCTCCTAGCCCCCATGGTATTTAACTGCATATTGAGCATCAAACCAGAAGGTTGAGTCTTTTTTGTTCATATATTGTTTTTCATGTTTATTAGGATTTTAATCGGAGTGTTGGAGAATACAGTCAGTCAGTATTCCAAAAGAAGTCCACCAGAGCTCTCACAGCAACAAGCTGTGGTAATATTGTTGTATGGGAACATACTGGCAAGGACCTCCCATGCAATAGAAAGGCATTTAAGATAGTTAAACTACAGGAGAAAGCTTTGACTGTACTTACAACTATAGACAAGTGAGTATAGTTGCTTGTTTTTCATGTTTTGATTTGATATGTTATTTTTGTTGTTGTTGTTTTGTTCATCCTGGATTCTTTGGTTCTCCCTGTGTCTTTGATATTCAATTTTTAAATACAGTATGTTTGATTAAGCCATTCACTTGTTTGTTTGTTTGGCAAACATAGTTGTTTTAATTTGTTTGTTTGTTTGGTAGTTTTGATAGTCATTCAGCCACTTAGTCAAGCATATTCATTGTTATCTTTCCTGCTCATAGATTTATTGTAACTGGAGACATATCTGGACATGTTCGTTTTCTTGATCAGCAGCTTAGACTTTCAAATTGGTGAGACTTTATGATATTTTAGGCAAGAATGTCGTTAAATGTTTTATTTGTTGATCAATATTCTTCCATTGTTTCTTAAGGTACAAACATTTTGATGCTGGTCCAGTTAATTCTGTATCATTTTCACATCAACACAAGCMACCTGTTTCAGAGTAAGTATTGAAAAATTTATTGACAAGGCATATTCAACATAACTATAAGACATATCATTTCTTTATCAGATTGAGCATCAGAGGTTCAGCATTTGCAGCCAGTTCAACACTCGATGCAAGTCCATTTGTTGTAAATGATTTTATTGTCAGCTCAACAACTGCTAATATGGTTTTCTTCTCGCCTGCTTCACATGTACTAGAGGTGAGAACAATTCCTTCTAAATGTGCATTGTCCTAGTCTGCATAACTGGTTTCTTTTTGGGGGGAGGGGTCAGTAGAATTCCTGCCCTAAAAGAGCCAACTAAAGCAGGCAACTGCATACTCTAGCTGAAAAAAAAAGAAAAAAAGAAATTATAGACATTATATCAACAGGGATTTGTATGTCAAAGTATATGCCAATAACCTTCTCTCTTAGCTGATAATTTTAGACAGAGAAGGAAGGAAGAAAGGAAGAAGGATTATTTAGATRTAGCTAAGTGGGAACTCCCATAAAAAGGGGGTGAGGATCCTAAATGWCCTACATCATGGGATGGTGGGCGTTGCAGTGATGAAATGTCACCACCAAGAGGGGCCAATAGCTATCCTGTCATGTTGGTTCTGTTTCTTGATTTTATTTGTACTTTGTACTGATCTTATACTGCCAGCTAGGGCTGTCTTGTACCCTGTAAGGGACCACAAAACTCAGTGGATGGAATTGTTGTTATTATCACCCTAACCAGGACCAAAACACTGATTTAAAACCCGAAAGGGACAAAAATGACCTCCAACCCCTTTTATAAGTGTTCCCCCCCTTCCAGCCAGAATTGTATATATACTTATTTTTCATTTTGTATTTTTACTTTAATCTGTTTCAGTGGGTTTGCAAGGAACATGATCGTCCTGTYCATGCTATTGCCTGCCATCCATCACAGTAAGTCATAATTGTAATTTCAATCATTTCAATCATTTTTTACTCTTAGTAATTTTTTGAAGGGAACATTTCCCACCAGGTCTGATTCCAATGGCGATTCTCACGTGCATCGAAATCAAATGAGCATTTACTCTGTACATAAAATGAATTTGAGAATGTAAAGATATTTCAATGATCGTTTTCTGTTTTCTCTCTTTTAGACCGCAAATTTGTATTGGAGGATACAGTGGAGCTATATTATTGTGGGACTACCAAGAAAAGTACGTAAAATATTGCAGTCATATGTGATACAGCTCACATAATTCGGAAATAAATAGGAATGTTAACATTCTTTTTTCTTTATCAGAACACTCATAGCAAGTCGTAATTTTGACAAACTGATGGTGAATTGTATCACATTCAATGCCACTGGAGATCTCATAGGTAATGATATTATATTTTTGGTTRTTTTATTTTGCGAGTTCATCTGCATAAGCGCAAACATTAGCGCATCCGCAAGAATGGAATTTTAAGGACTAACACTTGTGTTTATGCTTGCGTCCCGAGTGAAAATTTGTTGAAATCCTATTCCTTCGTTTTCTGCTTGCGTTTTGATCCTGGTGAAAGCCAAGATTTAGCAACGATTAACGCGCATCAGATTATCTCACCAATTAACGTTAACAGGATTGAAACAGCATGAAAGTTGTCAAAAACGTGCAAAGTGCAACATATTTTTTTATCAAGCATTGTCAATCGAATATACTTTTGAAGACGATTCGTACGTGCAAAGAGTTTTGGGTAACTAGTTTTGCACGCGTGCACGATAATCGCTGTTGCTTATTGCAGAATCCCAGATGTCAAATTAGAATATTGATTGTTTATTGAAATCTAAATATTATTACTTTCAACAGCTTTAGGTTTCACAAATGGCTGTGTTCGTATAATCGATGGTGTGACGCTGCGTGATGAAGGCAAAGGCGAAGGTGTGGCAGAGTTTCATCATTGTCACGACAGCGTGACACACATCAAATTCTCTCATAATTCGGATTATCTTGCTACAGCGGTAAGATAATCGTTGATGTAAATGTTGTACAAAGCCAAAGCCCTTGATTTGAGCTTTTGTAATTACTTTTATAGGATCTTGACCGTTGCGTGACGATTTTCAAGAATCAAATAGATGATGAGGACCAGCCTTGGGTGTATGTGGGCAAGCAACGAGCACATTATAGAAAAATACAAGGTAAAAAAAAACATCTTCTTAATCAGGACCGCTAAAGTCAAACAGCAAAACTTCTTTCCTCTGTTCTTAGTAAGTAGCTTTAAAAGTTACGTTTTAACTATATTGTTGCTTGTTACAGATATCGAGTTTGGTATTGAACTTGATAGTGATATTCCACGACTGTTATCAATAGGGCAAGACAGAGTGTTGGTGAGTACTTGAATAAACCTGGCTTTACACCTGTGCAACTGAGGTATCTTTTTAAGAAACCCTCATAGCGCGTTCGCTTTATACAAAAACCTCAGCAAACGATGTTTAACAAATAGATCTCATTTTTCCGTGCGTGTGCACTCTTATAGATACACAGATGACGTCAAAATGTAGTGAGAACAAAAAAGTACSCACGAGACGCAGTCGAGTGCGTGACTGTTGTTCTCGCTACATTTTGACGTCATCTGTGTATCTATTAGAGTACTGAAAAATGAGATCTATCTGTTTTATACAACAAACAATTAGTTTTGACGTAATCCGTGTATCTATACTTTGATAACACACGAAAGACAACCAATCAAAACGTCTGATTTTACTGAAAAGTTGTATAAATCTTCTTACAAGATGAAATGACTAATAGACACTTTAAAATTGAATGAATTGATGTAGAAATTGGGCATTAAACAAAAATTTTATTTATGTCGGGCGTCGAWCTTAAACCAAACTCAAAGGCGAACTTTTTGAATTCCCGCCATTRGAGTTGAATGTCGAAGTTTACTTTTAATCGAAATAGTATGTTGGGCCCTGAAAATTGTTCAGGTTTCAAGACGAGATTTTGGCACTATYCTAGTTGGACTGTATCTCTCGTTTTATGAAAATAAGATTTTTTGTTTTCATTCAGGTTGAGTATGACTTGATGAACAGCTCAACTGATGATGTGCAACTCTTGTCAAGTGAGCGAATTGARCAGAGTGCAATACCGCAGTGTTTCACGTGGTATCCACCCATTGTCAARGAAAATTTTCTTGTGCTTGCAAACGACCAGGTAAGTTTTCGTTTATGCCTTGAAAAATCCTTATTTATTAACTAATACTCTCATCTTATTTGTGAACTTGGTTACCTCTGTAACTGTTATTTCACCCTGCGACCAAAGTCTTGTGTTGTTGTTTTTTTTTACATGTTGCTTTGTTGCCGTTGTTTTGTCGTGGTTATTGCTGTTATTATACCAGCAGACTTCAGACTTAAGTGTAAATCTAACTATTATGCTTGATGAAAATCTTACGCGCTGTATAAGCATTATTTTAAAATAAATAACTATGTCTTTTGTAGTTTAAAATGAAGCTGTACAACTCCACAACGAAGATGTGTCGAAAAACCCTTCTTGGGCCCACATATGGGACACCTTTGAAAAAGTAAGTAGATTTTTTWAAATTATTCCAACCTTGAGTCAGCGTGGGCGCCGTATATAAATTCTTAACATGGCAATTGTTTGAACACAGAATTATCATGCTTCCTGCTTATGAAGATCGAGAAACCAGGTTCATGACGTACATAACCATGGACAAGGTATGTAATGATATATCAATCTGACTATACTTCACCTTCCACGCTGGTGATTTTCACTAATTTGCGAAAAATATATAATAAAATTATTGGATACCAAAGCAAAAAAATTCTTTAATTCTAAAGCCATTGAGAATATGGAATTTTCACAGTGGAAAAAGGGGCCCGTCCGGGAATTGAACCCGGGACCTCTCGCACCCTAAGCGAGAATCATACCACTAGACCAACGGGCCGATGAGTTAGCTCAGTAAATGTTGTGTTTGGTTCGGATGGTCTTGTTTTTGTTTTTTTTTCAACCAAAGTGTAGACATGATATGAATCCAACTTCAAACAGTTAAGTCGCATAATTTGTAATTCAATTTAGCATTTCGTTTGTTGTTTCAGATTGGTCTTCAGATGCTTCCACTAGACGGCAACCCTCACAAGTCAATGGCACTTATCGCTCATCCTGATGGTGTAAGACTCTAAATAATAACTTAACCGTCTTTTTTTCCAACCTGACAACTAATATAAGATGCAGAGCGACGCCATTTTGTGCAACAAAGCATGATGGGAATTGTAGTCSTCGCGCTTTTCCATGTCTGCTGAAACAGTTCGCTTGAGCCGTTTTTCTTTTTCTTTGCAAAATATGAAGTAGTTGTGAGGTTTCTACAAAGAAGAGTTAACATAAAACCGCGCTTAAAAGGGAGATTTGTTTTTAGGGGCCATGAAAAGTGCAAGGACGGCAACTTCAATCATGCCTAGTTGTACAAAATGGCGGCGCTGCACGTTACAAATTATATTGTGACGATTCTTTCTATATAGGTGTGCAATCTTTGTAGTTCGTATGACGGCAAGTACGTGTTCACGGCTGGTGGTGATGATTGCAGTGTCCTCATGTGGGCAGTCAACCCTGAGTGAGTAACTATATAGTTATAAATGTACGACTATATTAGAGCATTACAGCCTTTTGCAAAAATTATGAGAATTGTTGAAATATCTAAATATCATAATATCAAGTGCATGATGGGTAATCCCGCGCGATTCCCTTGGTCCCTTGTCTTTGTAGTTAAGTTTTTTTTTGGCGACGGACTTATCCGTAGTTCTGAACATTTTCTCGATGTCAACAATGAATTATTCTAGCAAACCCGCGTGTTCCGGACAATATATGGATATGGATATTATGATATTTAGATATTTAGACAATTCTCATAATTTTTGCAAAAGGCTGTATACACTCAAAGATGATATAGAAATAAAGGAAAGAAAGAGTGCTTATTTGAGGGAGGTTATTCCGGGAGAAAGACCCTTGGAAATAAATTCGGGAAACTTAATTTTCTGATCTCGCTGGGATTCGAACCCAATACCCTCGGATTTGAACTCCCGTTGCTCTACCAGCTGAGCTACAAGGTCAAATAACCTCCTTCTAATTAAGCACTATTCCTTTCCTTTATTTCTATATCATGTTTATCATAGTGTCATGCGGTCCTCATATTCATATCTATGCACCCAAAGATGCTTACAGGCCCAAAAGCACCAAAGAACCTTTGCGAAATTTCACCACCTTTTGAACCATTCAGAATAGCATCTTTCAATAAGAGATCATTTGTAAAAGAAAAGAAACGACCGCAAAGGTTTTTGGATGCACGTAGGACTTTTTTGGTATATTCAAATAAAATGNACGCACTCATCAGACAGTATATTGATGAGTGCGTAGCACGAAACTCGGAGTAACAGCAAAATCTTGCCTCTTTGATATTATATATATAACTAGCTCTACACTTTATGTGTATTGAGCACTCTTTAATGGGATCAGCTACTTCCTCATACAATTAACTATATAGTTATAAATGTACGACTATATTAGAGCATTATACACTCAAAGATGATATAGAAATAAAGGAAAGAAAGAGTGCTTATTTGAGGGAGGTTACTCCGGGAGAAAGACCCTTGGAAATAAATTCGGGAAACTTAATTTCCGATCTCGCTGGGATTCGAACCCAATACCCTCGGATTTGAACTCCCGTTGCTCTACCAGCTGAGCTACAAGGTCAAATAACCTCCTAATTAAGCACTATTCCTTTCCTTTATTTCTATATCATGTTTATCATAGTGTCATGCGGTCCTCATATTCATATCTATGCACCCAAAGATGCTTACAGGCCCAAAAGCACCAAAGAACCTTTGCGAAATTTCACCACCTTTTGAACCATTCAGAATAGCATCTTTCAATAAGAGATCATTTGTAAAAGAAAAGAAACGACCGCAAAGGTTTTTGGATGCACGTAGGACTTTTTTGGTATATTCAAATAAAATGATAATGAGAGTGCTGGAGTAATTTACAGTTCCACCCGATCTTGTGMTTTGATGTTCAATCTTGTCTTTGTTCCAGTGCGCTTGAGGCTGCTGCCAGGCTTGGAGGGGAGGATTTGATTCCTTTCTACGGCTTACTAGAAGGAGGACGTGAAGGCGAACTGTTTGCGGAGYTAGAGGATTATTTCTACTATGCTCAACTTAGAGAGTAAGTATATTTGACTCTATAATTTGAATAGTAATTGCATGCAGCCGAGTTTTAGCATTCAATTTTGCTATTTGTTTATAGTATATATAAACACAAAAGTTGAAAGAATCTTTATGAGAAATCAAGAGAAATTACATGTCAAAGTTCAAGAAGGATGACTTGAGCGGCGAGCAAAAATTAAGCAGTTTGAAATATATGGCATTTTCAGTGGAAAAATGGGCCCGTCCGGGAATTGAACCCGGGACCTCTCGCACCCTAAGCGAGAATCATACCACTAGACCAACGGGCCTATCAGATGATGWGTTGTTTGGTTCTAATACTGTTTTTTTCTGCAGTCAAAGTGTAGACACCACAGAGACTCGTAGCGTCTCGACTAAAGTACCTCTGAACCAAGTGCCATACATCGCTCGTGCCCTTGGTTTCTATCCTACAGAACAAGAGGTAATATCGATGMAYGTGCTTGTGAAACAATTCAATTTGTCGATTTGTGGTCGTGTTGTGATGACCCCAGCTATCACTATTCTTCGTTTTCACTATACGTCACAGCGGCCATCTTGGAGGAACTTCAACAAAAGATTTCTCATTAGTATCTATTGTTCATTCCTACAACATGGCCGCCCGAATTTTATCTTTTGAATCTCATGAGAATGGTTGAAAAAGATCAATACACACAGCTCATTTCAAACAGCGAAAACATAAACCAAGAATGCAGGCTTGTCTGTTTTTCCCTACAGGCTTTATTTCTTTCTAAACTATTCTCTATTT